GCGCCTCCGCCCCCGGCGTCGCTGGGAACCGGGCAGGGACGCGGCCACCTGGGGGCAGCGGCCCTCCGCGCCCGGGCGGGGCCTCCTGACACCCAGTCTCTGCCACCTCAGCCGCTGCCCCGCGTGGAAGGCAGACCCCTCCCAATCAGCCACATCCCCTGAGGGGCAGGGCCACCCAACCTCAGGGACGCATTGCGGGGCTGCGGATGGGGGAGCTGGGGTGCTTCCAGGCAGGCTCCCAGCTCCTTCCCCAGAGCCCTGAGGCTGGAGACCGCAGTCCACCGTCCACACCGCAGGCCCCTCTCCTTGGTCTCCAGACCAGCATGGCTCCACCTGTTTCTGCGCCCCCCACACCAAGCTGGGGGTGCGAGTCCACGCCCAGGCCACCGGGCTGGCGGTGAGGGCCAGCTCAGCACGTCCACGCAGCCCTCGTGGACTCCTGCCACGTCTCCACCGAGGGCAGCGTGAGGCTGGGAAGTGGGATCACAGATCCTTGTGTTTCTGGTGAACAGTCAGCAGGTCGGCGTCCGGCAGGGCCCACCACCCAGCGAGACTTGGGGAAGCTCCAGCGAGGATAGAGGCCCCCAGGCACCCTGAGGCTCCTCCCAGAGAAGCCCCCACACCCCCACCACAGCACAGCGGCTCCTGAAGGGAGCCCAGGTCCCTGCAGAGCGGCTGGGAGACCACCAGGTCCGTCTGTGATGAAAGGACCTGAGCAGCTCTAAAATCCTGGGTCCTTCCGTCAGCCACTGGAGTCCGTGCCCATGACCTCATCTAAGCCCTCTTGGGCCAGTTTCCTTCCCAGCTGGCAGCCTTGCCTGGAGCCCAGACCATCCAAGGCCCGCTGCCCAAAGGGCCAAAGGCCTGTCCCTGGAAGGTACCTCCTGGGAACTTTTCTCCGTGTCATGACTGGTCAGAATGCAGCATGCGGGGAATGGCTAGTTCTGGACCGGTCACTGTCCTTGCTCAGGTCAAGTGTCCTGGAAGTCCTGAGGAAGATGGGCAGTGTCACATCCCGTGCACAGCCTTAAATCCTGACATCCTGACCACGCAGACCCCTAACCGCCCTGGACCGAAGGCCGAAATGGGGCTCCTTGGAACTTTAGAGGATGGGGGTGGGATGGGAGGCCTACTAATAGCTGGGGACCTGGGTGATCCGTCGTCTCGTCCTGGGCACCTGTGGGTGTTAGTGGCCCGAGCCTCCTGGTAACTCCTATGGAAGAGCTGGAAGAGGCCTGGTGGCCCCGGGGCCATGTCACCTGCTAGGAGCTCTGCAGCTGTCTTCCTCTGCCCACACCTGGGTCCTCTTCTCCCACAAAGTCCAGGTCGGGGTGTGGCCCATCCCCCAGGGTCCTTCCCAGGGGCTGTTTCACAGGCACCACCGACCTGCACAGTGACCTCCTAACTTGGTGGACAGCCGCTGTGGGGGGCAGGGGGTGGGAACCAGCCTGATAGCAGCTGCCTTCCAGGAACCCACCTCCCAGGGAGTATCCAGCATGTCCCCCTGGGACACCTGGATGGCCTTCCTCAGGCACAATGACAAGGAAGACGCTGCCAAGAAGAACAGAGGCAAAGGCAGAAGGCCGAGGGTGAGCAGGGGGCCCGCGTGTGCGTGTGTGAGTGTGCGCGAGGAGCCTCCACCTCGGGGACCCCCTGAGCCCCCAGCCCACCACCATCACCCCTCCCAGACCCTCACCCTTGGCCTGAGGTCAGAGAGCACAGAAGCTGTCAAGCCTGAGGCTCAGGCCACCCTGGGGCCTGTTCCTAACATTGACCCTGCACCCCTGGAATGCCAGCTGCCCCTTTCTCTTCTCTCTACACCCTGGTACAGGAGGCCTGGGCGGGCCTGGGAGGGCAGCTTTCAGGGCACAGAGGCTCACTCACTGCCTTCTCAGCAGAGTCTGAGGCTGACCTCTACCTCGGAGGTCAGAGGTCAAAGTGGGAGCCCCTTTTGCCTGCCTCTTAGTGGCAGGAGCTTGCAGAGCAGGTGCCCATGGTTCCCAGCCTGCCCGTCCAGCTGTCCTCACCGCCTAACTGCCCTTCCAGCCAGGCCTGCCAGGGCTCTCGGAGCGCAGCGACGCCCTGAGCTTCCCCAGCCCCATCATCTCATCAGCAGAACTGATGAAGGAGTTCCGGCTGATGATAAAAGGTAGGGGGTGCGCATGTGGGCACATACCTGGGGCGAGTGGGGCTGGGGCAGGTCTCCCAGAGGAGCCAAGCCGGGCTCGGTCCCGACATGTCTGCAGCTCCCAGGGAGGCCCCTGCGCTGTGCCAAGCTCAGGGTCAGGAGCTGGGGGTGAGAGGTAAGGAGGGCACTCTGCTGAGGAAGGTGCACTTGACCACTCTGTGCTCAGTAGGTGCTTAGGGACCAGCACCCATGCCCCACCTGGAAGTCGGGTGAGTCCAGTGAAGGCCAGGAGACCGAAACCCATACCCCTCAAGTGGGGCCTGCCAGGGAGGGGGGTCAGGGCTCTGTAAGTTTTCAGAGTGCTCCTCTGATTCCCCCAGTGACATCAGGGAGATCTAAGGCTCACCCCAGTCAACACAGGCCCCCCTGACTGCAGACCCCATCTGCTTGCTCTACATCACCTCTGCCTCTTCCCCTGACAGGTCTCAGCTGCTGGCACAGAGCCCCTGGGAGGGCACCAGGAGGCTGCCCAGTGGGGCAGGGAGGTTAGGGTACAGGGACAGCACAGGGTAGAGCCTGGCCTGGCATCCCCAGGTCACCATCTGACCTCTGACCCAGGCCGGGGAACTAGAGGGCACAGAGGGAGATGGCAGAGCTGAGCCGAGCTGTGGTGCTGAGGGTGTCCCTGCGCTGTGCCCACTGCTAATGGGTAGCTCACATTACTTACTAGATTAATTTTATCATGAAGAGCCTAGTGACAGAGCCTTTCCCCCTTCAATTCAATGCAATATAGCTGCAGGAATTATTACTTTACACCCAGCTTCCTTCCAAAGCTGACCAGGGCTGGCTGATGATTGCATTTCCTGATAAAATAAAACCATAAACAGAAAAAACAACAGCGTGCAGGGGGAGGAGTGGGTGGGCGGGGGACGTGAGGCAGAGAACAGGGCCACTGGGTGTGAGTCTGCCCTGACTTCCCGGGAGCCACAGCGGGAAGGGAAACAGGAGCAGCCGCAGGGTTAAGAGGTGAAGTTTCTGCCGTCCCCACAGGCTGAGAGGGGTCTGAGGGCTGGGAAGGGGCACCGAAAGTTGGGCAGGATGGGCTTGGCCACTGCTCGCTCTGTGCCAGATTTGGCGCCGCGAGGGCACACCCAAGAGGACCTGGAGGCTGCAGCGGCGAACAAGGACACGGTGGCCCTGCTGGCGGAGGCCCTGGCCTTGGGCCCGAGGAGCGTCGAGGCCGCCTTCCACTGCCGCCTGCACCCCAACGTGCCGGTTGAGCGGCGCACGCTGCACGAGCTCGGTGGCTACTACCTGGTGAGTCTGGGGCCTGAAGGGCGCCGCCCGGGAGGGGGCCGTGGCGGGCCCCAGGTGACCGAGCCTGCGCTCTGCAGCCCAACTCCGAGGGCACCTTCCACCGAGGCCTGGGCCTGAACCTGACCAGCGGCCAGTACACAGCGCCCATTGCTGGCTTCTACGAGCTCGCCGCCACGCTGCACGTGGGTGAGGCCTGACGCCAGGGGCG